GTTTTAGACTATTTTTTTTATTTTAGTTGTAAAACAACATTATTTTCCCCAAATTGCGCTATTTATTTTAATCAAATTTTCATGTTTAAAAATAGGTCTCCTAATTTTTTATTTTTTTAATTTGGTCCTTGGATCTTTAATTTTTTTTAATTGTCGACCAATTTCAACATTTTCTTTTAATTTCTTTTAATTTTTCCACTAATTGCATTAAAAATTGTACTTGAATTTTATTTTCCTTTTCAATTTGGTTCTTGACTTTTCAATTTTCAATTATTTAGTTAATTTCAACCTTTTTCTCAATATTTCTTCACAATTTCATCCTTGATTGAATTTTTCTTGTCCTTGTATTTTGCTATCTTTTCTAGTTCGGTCATTGACTTTCAAATGTTTAGCCAATTTCAACCATTTTCTCTTAATTTCTTCACAATTTGATCCATAATTGCATTTTTCTTCTTATTTTTTGTTCTTTTTTTGAAATATTGTTTGTTCTTTTTTGATAAAAATATTTGTTGCCTTTTTGTTTGAAATGTTTTTATTTTTATTTGAGAGGGGTTAAGTATTATTATTTTATAAAACTTATTTCCTCAAAGACTTTCTAAAGTTTATAATCCATAGGAATCAAAGTTAATCAAAGTTTCAATACTTTTGACCTCTGAAAACACCTCTCTTTATTGCTTTTAAAGATTCCTTTATTTTTTTTCTTTTTTCTTTTTTAAAAAGAAAATAACTTTCCAACACCTTGTTGATTTTGATAACATGACCTACGATAAATTTTACTTGTAAACTATCTTTCTTTCACACTTTACATGCTCTTGTAGGAATAAAATTGTGTAAATTTAGTTATCTTAAAAGTTAAGAAAATTAGTGTTTAAGCTTAAAAATGATAGCGGATATGATGTTGATATATATAGAAGGCCAAAGTATAATTCAATAAAGCTAAAAGGAGTAAGTAAAGATAAAGATAATAAATAGATAAGCTTTAAAGTTTCAATTGATTCAAAGAATGCCTAAATCATTTTTTAAGTAATATTTCATCCAAGAAACCATGAGCATCATCAAACAACTTTTAGAGTTTGTTAAAATCATATAAATTTACAATATTCACATAAAATTTCTCTAGGTATGCAAAATAATTATTGATCTTGATGACCATTCATTGAATATAAAAAATCTTAAATTAAGCAAAATCAAGTCAAGAATTAACAAAATAGACTCAAGCAATAAGATATTTTCCTGAAAACTATAATAAACTTCAACCAAATTTCGCCATGCTTTAGAATACATTTTACAACACTTTGAACATTCTTTTATATATATATATATATATAAGAATCCAACCCCATATCATAGCTCAGGTCCACTACTAGTACATACTATTTATCAAAAACTCATGCGATTAGTTGTTGTCAAACTATTTAGTGCTAAAAATTCGAGAGTCAAGTACCTTGCAATATGAAAGAACTCTGTAAAGACACACCCGAGACATGTATGTTCTGCTTTATATATAACCAGAGTCGTTACAAGAGAGAAGAGAAAGAGCTTATCTATTTGTTACAAGAGATACAAATTAATTACATGAGATTTAAATACAAGATAAAATGCCCTCCCGTTCGCAAGCTATCCAGTTTGAAATGGATGTGATCCTATTCTCTACCCATAAGATAAGTCCGTACATGCATCCTTCTTTTCATTCGAGCCATGAATTTAAAGGGATTTGCACGCAAGAAAGACAATACTGAATTTGCAGTTGAAACCATCATTCGATAGGAACAAACTAATTGGATAAAAAAAAGACAATCTTGGAATGTGATGATGGTTGTGAAAAATCCATTACGTTCTTGCACCGTGATTGCCAGGATGAATGTATATGCTAAACCCAAGCAGAGAAGGGAGTAGAAATTAAGAAATGTCGCCAACTCCATGTTACATGTTACATAACTGGCACGACCTAATGATATCCGACAAAGGATTATAGCGGCGATGAGGGAGAAATTCATAGCTAGCATGTCAAAAAAAATATAAGCTCTCATCAGATTTTTTGAACTATCACTGTTAAGATTAGAACCTGATCCAGGCACAGTGATAGCACCAGCGAAGGTTACTCCAGCTACCAGTACTGCCACCACGAGAAGATTCCCTACCCCTCTGTTCCGTTCCTCCGTCGTTAACGTCGTTAAATCAAAGTTAAGATTGATGTCAAACTCAGTCTTATCACCTGCCTCCACCAAAACTTTTAATACCTCACGCTGAACAACAAAGTGTTAATTAGAAAATATATGGTAAACAAATTATATAAAGCATCATGACAATGTTAGCTTAATATCCCATATAACGAAGAAGTAATTCATCGCTATTTAGTAGATCAGTGAGATATTCCATGTTTTTGAGCAGGTAAAGAACTTTATTTCCATTTTGGATTAATCAAATTTAAGGTAATTAAAAGAAATCTATCATTCCCTTTTCCGTAAAGTTGCAACTTGGATAAAATGTGGATGTGAAAGTTTTTGCTATACTAGAATATATTTGCTTCCATCACTGATTAGCTTCTTATGTGGACCCAAACGGCTAGAATATAAAGTAATTTAATTTAAAGACCAAACGGAAAGTGTCTGTCGGTAGTCACCGACTGAATTAACAAAAATAGTAATAGTTTGTCGGTAAATCCATTGTTATTGAGTGAATTTTTGGTACTGCAAAACCATCCGGCAATGAATGACAGATTTTTAAGAGATCATGAAGGAAATTTTTTGTGTCTTCTCTTGTTCTACAGGTATAAAAAAATCAAATGTGACTGAAGTTTTGACAATTAATAGAGCTTTTCAAGTAAGTATTGATTATTCCTATACACTTATTAGAAGCTGGATTGTAGAGAATGATTCATATAATGCCATTACATTGGTCAAAAGTCACAATATTATAAGATCATGACGCTTACAACATGAATTCATTAACATTTTAAATTCTTGAGTATCTTTTCTTGTGAACTTTACACATATTCTTAGTAATCATGTCACACAGATCATTTGGCAAAGCAATGGCAAAGCAAGGAATGCATAGAGAAGCAAATTTAGTTACATGGTTTTTGTTTTTATTAATTTCAAAGTTTGGTTTATGTTATGGCTTTGTGGGTTAATAGGACATTGGTTTTTTTTTTTTAGTTTTGTTTGGTTTGTAAAGGACCAAATATTTTTGTTTTGTTTTTTAATTCGTTCTTTATCTCTCTATACAATCATTATCTTATTGGCTATAAGATTCCCCCGACGTTCCAGCTGTTGTCCAACTAAACCTTAAGAACTAGAGCCAAAAAAAAAAATCTTTATGTTACCTATTTGTTAAAGTATCACTTAAATGTAATGCTTGAATCTGAATTTTTTTTTTAAAAAAAAATGAACAAATGTCCGAGGAAAACTTTTCCAGATTGTTTGTATAGTCCAACAGTTGTATTGTTCTTATTCAGGGGTGAAGACAAGTATATATTTGTATGCATGCTTGATTAATAATTGTAATCTCCAATACGTACTAGTGAAGTTTTTGCAGAATATAGGCTTTGTTAAACTACGTCAAATTTTAATGTTCCTTTTACTTTATGTTATTACTTGGTTTGCTAGAGTTTTGAGATTGATTAAAGTCTTGAAGAATTAAAGCTAAATCATACGAAGTCACGACTACCATGAAAGATGGGAGCAAAGATGATGATGTCCTCATGGATCATAAATATTGTAATGAAGTTTTGAAAAATTCATGGATTGTAGATTTTGCATGCTACTTTCATATTTATTTAAATAAAGAATGTTTTGACTCTTACAAAGAATATGTTTTGATTCAATAGCGCTAGTAAATGATAATAAAATCTAAGTTGCTAGAATTGATAATGTTAAAATTAAGATACATGATGGAGCAATGAAAACCCTTTGTGATGTTAGGCACATGCCAGGACTTGAAAGAAAGAAAGTTTGTGAAACCGAAAATTTTACCAGTTTGCGAACTTCTACTTCCTGCGATTTATTCCATACACCTCTCGCAGCATCATCCTCATGCTTGGTATCGATTAGCTTGTTCTGATCAAGGACAAGCAAAGAGTAAAGTATTAATTTCTAAGTATACATTCGAAACTGAATTTGAATGTATTTTCTTGCATTCAGTTCTTGTAATGTTAAAGTTTGTCCTTTTCATTTTCATTTTTTGCAAGTATATATGATGATTAATTTGGAGTATAAGCCCCCGTGATGTTCAAGAGCAATTACAAGCCCCTTGGCACCATAAGGTCAGTTTTTCGAAAAGGCTCAGCATATGAGCATACCATTCCATCTGACTTGGGTGCTTCAAAGCGTCCGCCTTGCAATAATTTCCCAACAACACCAGATGGTTTCAACTTTCATTATTAACAATCATTTTATCCACCCATGTCACTCACTAGTGCACTATCTCAGAACGGCCATACATTGCAGCCAAGTGCAAAGGTGTATTTCCATCGTAATCCATCTCATTTATAAGTGCTTCCAGATCTCGATTTCTCAATATTTCATCCACCATTTTCATCTGTTCACTCTCCGCTGCAACGTGAAGAATATTCTGTTCTTTTTCGTTGAGAAAATCCATTGGATCGAACCAACAAGTAAGTAGTTCGCGTACTACTTCAAGATGGCCCTTCTGGCATGCAACATGGATAGGTAAGTTGCCTTCTTCGTTTCTTTGCGATGCGGCAACAGGACATCGACTAACCAGGAGTCTTGATCCAAAGAGGAAGCCCATGGCTGCTGCAAGATGAAGGTGATTTCCCCCTTTTTTGTCCTCGGGATGATTTATATCCGGCTTGCCGTCCGCTAGTTTTTCTAATACAGCATAATTTAAAAATTAGATAATCAACACAAAAAACACAAAATGCAGGAAGTTCATGCTTTACATAAAATGAAATTATGAAGAATCAGTTTTAATGAGACCAATAATTATAAGTGTAACATGTTATTTTTCACATCAAAATGATGAAAACATGTGATTACCTAAATTTCCTTCCGGCATATCTTCTATAAAAGAAGCAATCATCTCCTCGTCGCAACTCTCTACTGCCAAGTACAAGGGAGACTTGTCTTCCTTGTTCTTGTGGTAGGAAACATCTAGGTCTTCATAAACGAGGAAACAGGCCACCTCTTGGCAACCCTTGATGACTGCATCATGCAAAGGGGTGTTTCCTTTATTATTCTCCATCCTCAGCAAGCTAGCAAGTTCAAGTGTTTTATGATGAATTTTCACATGCTTGACGAGATTTTGAATTGTGTCAAACCGTCCAGCCCTGGCAGCCAGATGAAGCGCATTATCACCCAGGAAATTTTTCCTGGTGATTAGGATGGGGAATTGATGACACAGTAGCTGTGTCACACCTTCGCTTCCATGGCTTGCTGCCACATGAAGCACTGAATTTCCAGAGGCAGCAACATGTTTGAAAATGATATTGAGCAGTTCCTCTGATGAAACATGTTGCAGTTTATCGGACAAGAGACCAAACAAGGCATTGAAGTTGTCTTCCTTTGCATAGGTATGAAACTCCTTCTGCAGTATTTTATTTGGCTCAGAAAAACCACAATCTGCAAGCTTCGGAACTGGGAATTTAACTGCCTTCCAATGTTCAGGCTGCTCATGTACTGGCCTCGGCATATCTATTTTTAAATATGTGATTTTTTTTAAAAGTTTTCTTTATTAATTTTATTATTTTTAATATTAAGTTGGTTGAAAATTATAATGGTAGATTTTTTCATGAAATAATATAGATTGCTGTAGTGTTTTCCTGATGATTTTTTTTATATTGAGCTAGTTGAGAATTTAGTTTCGTAATTTTTTTTTTAAACACAGTAGATTGTTATAGTATTTACCTACATGATTTTTTAATGATTTTTTTTTAAAATTTTATTTTTTAAATATTAAGCTGGTTAAGAATTTAATTTTGTAGTTTTTTTCTTGAAAATATTATGAATTACAATAATTTTTTTCTATATAATTTTTTTTATTTTTTTTATAAATCTACAATAATACATAAAAATATCACAAATCTGCAACATCACAGGGTGATGACATCCAGTAGTTAAATATTTGATGTCGTGAATTCTACCTTCTAAAATGATAAAATGATATGTTAACAAAAGAAAATTTTCTTCTTTGACTTGAAGTATTATATTTCGGAGGAACGTTTTCTTTACTGGTGTTTTATAAAGTTTATAATTATGACATATGTACCCAAAGAAGAGATGAAGAGCGTTATTTTACGTTGCCATTCATTGGAAGTGGCGGCCATTTTGATTATGCAAGAACAGCGGCAAAATTTCCCAATCTAGATTTTGTTGGCCTTTCATTTTGAAGGATTCTTTAAACTTTGTTAATTTATGATATCATTGTCAATTGGTTTGATGAGAGAAAATTCTATGGAGAAATATGGTTGAAATTTATTATAGTTTTCAGGAAAATATCTTATTGCTGGAGTCTGTTTTGTTAATTCTAGACTTGATTTTGCTTAATTTAATGGTTATCAGGATCAATAATTATTTTACATATCTAGAGAAATTTTATGTGAATATTGTAAATTTATATGATTTTAACTAACTCCAAAAGTTGTTTGATGATGCTCATGGTTTCTGGGATGAAATATTACTTAAGAAATGATTTAGGTATTTTTGAATCAATTGAAACTTTAAAGTTTATTTTATGGAGTGTTGATTTATATTAATTTAATTATTTTATAATTTTTTAAAAAAAAATTTAAAAAATTATATTTTTTAATAATTACCGATGAAATTATATATTGTATTTTTTGTTTTTATTACATGACAATTTTTCCAATGAAAATATTGATAAAAGAATTTTTTGACATGTTTTTTTATTTATAAAACCATTAATTTTTTATTTTTTTTATTTTTATCATTAAAATTAGCAATAAATAATAAAATTATATTTTATTAGTAAATTAATCGTAAAATTCTTACTGACAAAATTATAATCTCGCACAGACAGAAGAAGAAAAAAAGTGTCAAATGTTAGTGACCATATTATCTATCCCACTTGACTTTACAAGAATACCTAAAAAAGTTTCACTGCCCATTAACTATTCAGTGGTATCTTATCTTGATAAGATCCAAGTCCAAAAACAATGCATGAATTCAGTTCTTAATTTGCCAGATTTCCCATGTAAGACAAAATACCAGCCCTACCTTTTCTTCAAGAGTTTCTTGCCAAATCAACTTGAAGCCGATACTGGTAAAGTTACACATGATGGGCTTCTTTCTTCCTGGTGAAAGAGAGAGAAGATGGGGTCTGAGGTGGACCATGAGTCATCGAACATTCGCTTTCATCCATCCATTTTTAGTTTACTGTTAACATGGGGTTTCTCTTTCGTATAAACACCTTCCATGGCGGGGCTTGTCGATAAGCTAGGATGACGTTTTGTGGCGTTCAACTGTCACTTCTGTGTGTCCATCCCTCAGCCATCTTGACTTCAATGGCCACCCGCATTTACATTCCGAGTTTTTGGCACCCTTGTGCTCCGACACTGATGAGCTGAGGGTCCTCTTCAATCTAAATAATCTTGGGTTTTCATGCGGTCCTTTCATTTATCATCATTAGCCTACCTAAAACATGAAGTTAGATCATTCTGTTATATGGTTGCAGGAGTTACACAGATCAAAGGCCATATGGAATATTAATATATGTTTGTTTTTATATAATAAAAATTATAAATCATTGTTTTAATTATCTTATAATTCATGTCAACACATTGAATTTTTTCTTTTATTATACAAGATTTGGGTAAGATACACTATAAAATCTATAAGTTGATGCCTCTTCCTCATCTTATGATGCTATATGTCATGCATATAGTTTTTTATTACATTACATGTCTTTGATAGATCATTACTTGCTCACGATATTTATTAAGAGAAAGAGATGAGTGACTCACACATTTCACCTTCATGTAGGGAAGATGACGCCTATATTACAGAATATTATTATTTCTTTTTGCCTATCTATAGATGAGTGAGCACTTACTATCATGGATGTCCAAAATAAGGTCACTCTATGTGAGCGTGCATTCGAATGATTACTCCCTCATAAAATGTTGAAAAGAAACATTTTATACATGAAATGGCTTTAGAAAAACTTTTTTGAATTACGTGATGACTATAATGGCGAGCTTTTACAATGGTATGTTAATGCATATTAATAGTTCAATTAACATATTAATTTGTCTATATTTGATTTGAATTTGGTGTTCTGTTGTGCAGTTATGCTTAAGCGTACATACTTATATGTTTGACACCATGCTTTTTATTAATCTTAGTGGGATGTATATGCCCTTATTCTACTTATCACTGCTAAAGAATTTTAAATCTATTCCACTATATAATTGAGGCTCAGATATCCTTACATGTTTGTATAGACATTTATGTTAAAGTAGTTTAAAAAATTCAAAACAAGTTGGAAGATGCTTATTTCTTTTACAAGTAAAATAAATGTAATAAGTTGTTTTTATTTTTGTATTATATTTTTATGTTTGAATTGGTTACTAATTATTGTATATTTTTTATTTAAAGCTATGGTCATGGGAACATTTACTGTGAGACAGTCACAAATTGAGTCTAAACATGTTATGTCCATTAGAATATAAGTAATTTGTTTTTGATAATACAAATAATGTTATTTAGATTAAGAAAATTTTTCTCAATACTTTATTTAATAAGTTTATTGATTTTTTATTAACAGATGATGTGGGAATAGATATTTTAAAATCATTCAACTTATGCTTTTTTTAATTTTATCACAGCGAGTTAGATAGATAGTAGTCAAATTAAAAGGATGTCAAATAAAATGATAAGATAAATTTTTTGATCTTGGAAAATATTAAGAAGTGATATTGAAAAATAATTGTTTGCACTGATGTTGGTAAATGATGAGAAATAATTGCTTGCATTGATATTGAATTTGTTTTATATTGAAAAATATTGGGAAATAATTGTTTGTGTTGATGTTGAAATTTTTTATACTAAAAAATATTGGGAAATAATTATTTGCGATGATGTTAGTAAATGATAAGAAATAATTGCATACGTTGATGTTGAAATGTTTTTATATTGGAAATAGTTAAGAAATAATTGTTTGCAATGATGCTGATAAATTATGAGAAATAATTGTTTGCCTTCATGATATAAAAAAGTTTTTTATATTGAAAATGTTGAGAAGTAATTGTTTGCATTAATATTGGTAAATTATTGTTTGCATTAATATTGGTAAATTATATGAAATAATTTTTTACATTGATGTTGAAATTGTTTTATATTGAAAAATGTTAGGAAATAATTGTTTGCATTGATGTTGGTAAATAATGAGAAATAATTGCTTACTTGGTGATGTAGAAATTTTATATTGTCGATAGATAATGAAAAATAATTGTTTAATTAATAAAAATAATATTTAAAAATGACATGTATTATTTTAAGATTATAATTAACAAATAAAAATAATAACAAAATATCTCGATCAGTTTGGTAATTTATGGTTTTTTTGGGCTTTGAATGTGATATTTTAAAGTTTGTTTTATGTCAATTTAAGGTTGGTATTAGACGAAAACTGTGCTGGGATAACACAACCAATATTCATATTAGCCTTGTATATTGAAGAACCGTTATTGTTATTAGTGGTTGTTTAACATACATGCTATTACAATCATTTAATATAACTGCTATTTCTATCTGCTAGCTTTTAGTAATAGAACTGTAATTCCCTTTAGTAGTTGATTCAAAGTACACTATTTTCCCAATACTTTTCTATGTTTTGTAAAAGATCAAAAAGATAATTGTTGGTCAGTGTAACTGAGGAGGCAATAAAAAGGAATGCGAGCTTGGAATCCCTCACAGCAAATAATGTTAGAAATGACAGTCTGAGGGGATTTAAACAAACTATAATGAACACAAGATAATGGAAATAATTGTGTAAGAATTGAAAAATGACTCTCAAATTGTATTTCGGGGCTATCACCTTCAAGAAGACCAGTACGGTGAATTACTGGACTAGGGCTACCTACCTTGCCTTGCTCATGTTTTTCATTGGCTATGCTTTCCCACCAAACGTTCATTGCTTCCATTCCACCTTTCCAATTATCTTAAGGTACGATTTCTTGATGGAATACAAAACATTAATTACAGTCTTAAACTGCTCATCAAAATGCTTTCAGGAAAGTTCTTGAGTTTCATTTCTTCTCAACCTTCACTTTAATCTCTCTCTCTCTCTCCCCATTAGAACCTCATCTGCAACTAAACTCAACAACCATCTCCCTGTCTTCCTGCTAAAAGCCAACTGCCCAACCATCCTCCACATCCCCATATTTTCATCAAAAATTACAAAATTACGGTTCTTCCTAGGATTCAATTTAGGATTTTTTTAGGTTTGTAAAAAAACATAAATAATTTTATTTTAATAAATGGAAAAGATTCTAGCACCATTAAAAATATTAAACTGAGAAAGAAATCACGTTTGAAAATAGAGAAATTTAATGTAATTGATTTAATAGGTGTTTTTGATATAACATATATAGCAGTAATCTGGTTATTTTTTTATATTTAAAAAATTATGTTAACTTGGGATGTAAATTGTAATTTCTCAATCTTATTAAATAATTT